AATATTAAAAAAATAAAAAAAAAGGTGTGTGTGTGTGTGTGTGTGTGTGTGTGTGTGTGTGTGTATATATATATAAAAATTGAATAATAATTACTTTTATACACCAAAGAAAGTAAATGCTGAAATGGATGAAATCTCACTGAAGAGAATTACTCCAATGGTGACTTGAAACATGCATTTTATTACAAAATATAATCAAAAAGACGACATAAAGCTAAAACATCAGTTATTTCTGAATAACAAATATTTATGTCAGTAAGTTGGATTTTAATTTTTTTCTTAAGGATGCTCATTTTTTGCTGTCCTGGATCTTTTCTGCCACTTCTATTGTTTAAGTCTTAAGTTTAAGTAGTTAAGCTTTGCCTTTAGCCTCTCAGTCGCTAAAGTTACACCACCCCGAGCCCGTAACCCGACACAACGCGCATTATCTCTGTTTTCCTTTCACACGTTGGAAGCTCCTTTGGGGGAAAATTCCAATTGAAGCTCTCACAGTGAAGCCCATAAATAAACAGTCAAGATCTCAGATGCAACGTAAACACTCTTTGCTTTGAGCCACTCGAGCAGGACCGCTCGCTTTCTGGCCGCAAACGAGATAAAGGCCCTGATGCACTTCAAGAGAAATCAAAGATTATCTGGTGTGACGTCATTTTGAACAAAACTGGACCAAAACATTTTGTTTGGAGTCCATTTCATGAGAGCCCTGCACATGACATGTGGATATTAAGAATTTGTTCCCTCGTTTTATTAATTCGTTCCCTTGTTTTATTAAATTGTGGCCTTGTTGTTCTGATTCATTACCTTGATTTGAATGAATTAAAACTAGGGAATGAATTAGTTCAACATGGCCGCTGTTTACCAACAGGGTTTCTGCAGGTCTTAAAAAGTCTTAATTCATTCTTCCAAAAATTCAGGCCTAAAAAGGTCTTAAATCAGAGCAGAAATTATTAAATTCATAGTCATGGCATGTTGCATACGCTGCAAAAAAATGTATATTTTGCTCAATATTTTTGTGTTGTTTTTCAATACAAATATCTAAACATCCTAAACATCTTGTTTACTGAAAAATTAAACAAAATTAAGTGAGTCTATTCTTAAAACAAGGATAAACATCTGTCAATATGGAAAACTTGTTTTCACAATTAAGTAGATTTTTTTTTTCTGAGCCCATTGGCAGATATTTGTGCTTGCTTCTCAAGTAAATGTATCTTGATTTAAGAATCTTTAGTCATTTGCACTAGAAAACGACAAAAATACTGATGAAGAACATCACTTTTTTGCAGTGTGATCAAAGGGTACAGTAAAAGTTATTTCCATATTCTACTGTTTTGAAACAGATCTATACAAGCCTTAAGTTATTTATTTATTTAGTTAGTTTGTAAAATGAATTCAAAAGTAATGGAGATGTATTGGAAGTTGATTTGTCAAACTTTGAAGCATTTCTAATTCAGGACATTTAGATTTAGAAAACATATTGACGTATTGTGTTCTATTTAATTTATTCCTTTAAATTTTCTTTACCTGGACGTAAAATGTTTTAAATTTACCGTCATAAAACCTGCAAACTCTAACTAAAATGAAGGAACAAATTCTACAATACTGACAGTAGACAATATTTCAAATCGCTGAAATATCATAAATATGACCGCACCTAAATACTGTTTGATAACATTATTCTCAGGTATTTTAACTACTTTTTACCCCTAAGCAAAGAATGAAACTAACTTTGCTGTGCATCAGGGCCTCAGGTGTAAATGTAAATCCACCTGTGCGCTCATCTCTTTCTCTTTCTCTCTTTCTCCACCATGTCATCCTCTCCCGATGTATGCCGGACTTCCTCCTTCCTCCGTCCAGTTTGTGAGTACATCATTTATCCATCGCTCTTCTTTAAAAGCCGCAGTGAATATGTCTCTTTTGTGCTGCAATGGTAGTCGTCACAAAGGTGCGATTTGGTTAGTGAGAGCTGAGGGTTCCCCGCCAGGCCAAAACAGGAACCTGAGGAACAAGTGTAGGAGACGTCACATCCTGTTGGCCGTCGTCCGTCACGTGGAGCCTCCATGAGACCTGTCGCGCTGTCAGTCAAGCATGTGTGCCGGCCAATCCATCTCAAGGGTACGACAGCCCAAACAATAGAGCGGCTGATGGTGAAACCAGACTTCATCTATCACAATATGTCCCGTGGGCAGGACTGGAAACACCTACAGGAGACAGGACCCTCCCTTAGTACAGAACACATGCTTAAGAATACACAATAGTGGAGATATGATGCATACTGTGTACAGATGAAATAGTACGCAGTATGCATATGTAGATTTCAGACTGTAGTACATTGTTGTTGGGTCTAGTAATTAAAAAGTGTAATTTGGCATTTTTAATTATATGTCTATTTAATTAAATATCTTTTGTCAGAATTAGGGTAGAGTTACTAAAATCATAGCATTCTGTATATTTTTAAAATAAATTAATATTTCTATTATATTGAAGCAGGGACACGTCGAATTGATTAAAAGTGATAGTAAAAGCATTTAAAATGTTACAAAATATTTCTATGTCAAAGAACTTTCTATTCATTAAAGAATCCTGAAAAAATGATCTCAGTTTCCACAAAAAAAAAAAATGAAGAAGCACAGCTGTTTTCAGCATTGATAATAATAAGAAATGTTTCTTGAGCGGCGAATCAGCATATTAGAATGATTTCTGAAGGATCATGTGACACTGAAGACTAGAGTAATGATGCTGAAAATTCAGCTTTGCATCACAGGAATAAATTACATTTTAAAATATATATTCAAATAGATAAAACAGTTTTTACATGTGAGCATAAGAAACTTCTTCCAAAAACATTTAAAAAAAATCTTACCTTTGTACAGTAATGGACGTTGTTAAACTGGAAATGGACATTCACTTTGAGCCCGTTGCATTGTGGGATGCATTATTTGGATATGCTATTCCAAACATAGCCATGTTATGCCACTAAAAGCATTCAAGTATGCCATATTGTTGTCACATGACCTCATTTAGTTTAATTCAAGGAGCGGCATCCTATTCTTGCAATCTTTATTTTGTGTTTTTAGTGTAGTTTTGTGTAGAAATGTCTTAACTCTTGGCAGTCCGAATTAGTATTTGACAAATTGATGTTAAAAATTGAAATTATATCAGCTGATACAGCTTGGAGAAGTGATCTCATTTTTACTTTTAACTTCTATTTATTTGGTATTTTTCACAATGCATTAAAATGAGTGAAACAAAAACTTAGTTAAATAATGTAGATCAGAACTGTATTTTATTCTTTGCTACATATGAATTTCTTTACAAAACTAAAAATTTCCATTTCATTTATGCACTCGTTCATTTATTTTTTTTAATTTACTCCTTCAATTTTTTTGAGTTTTGAGAGGTTTGGTTTAACATTCCAGAAACAGAACAAATGACTTAAACAGAGTCAATTAAACTTTCCAGAAATAAAAAATTCCGTGTTAAATAATGTAAGTCAGAAATGCATTTTATTCATCATGAAAATTGAGATGTGATAGTATTTAATGTTTTTTTTTCCCTCACTCGCATGACTCTTCTTGAAAGAAAAACAGTTCAAATGAGGAGAAAAGTTATTTGATCATTTTTTGTTCTCTAGAATAACATGCACTAAAAATTATGCAGAGTACATCCACATAAAGTGGCTGATTTTGATCCAGTGCCGTCTTGAAGAATCCACCGCACATCGTCCTCCTGATAGAGGAGGTGTGTCGCTCAGGCTGAGGTCAATAGCTTTCCCATCTTCTCCATTCTTTGTGTTTGAGCGCAGGGCATTTAGAAGCTCCAGCATCCGTGTGCATGTGTGCGTATCTGAGCTTGAGTGTGGTGTGCGGCCCCTTCTCCTCTTGACAGGCCTTGTCAACAGGCTGATTCCTGGGTGGGTCCTTCATCAGAGGGTCATACCAACATCATCAATCTTGCACCCCGTGACAGGCCTGTGCTCCCCCCGCAGTGGGCTCACTGGTTTGTTGTTTTGTAATTAGACCGCCATTAGATGGCAGGAAACCGTCCCCTCCACACCCTCTGTGCACAGCTGGGGCCCGCTGGCAGCCTATGGGACCCGCGGGCCACTCCACAGCGTGGCGTTAGGGGGGTGGGGATCTACCTAGTGGGAGAGAATGAACATGCGGAGTGTAAATGATGTATTACAAGATGAATCAGATGGCTTGACGATTGTGTACTAGCTCAAACAAGCTGGTCAAACAAGCAATATGAGGATTCAGATCGACCGTGCTGCCCACAAGTCTGAGACCACACTCAAGATCTGCCTTTTTTGGATTTAGACAGGAAATGAGCCTTTTTAAGATTAAAGTTTTAGAATTGTGAAAAATTTAGAAAAAAAAAAATGTGATGAATTATTTTTAAAAATGCTTAAATACATGTTCAATATGATTAAAAAATTTTTAATTTAAACTATGAAATAACATGAATGCAAGTGTGAGAATTATGTAGTAAAAAAAGTTAAACCAAACCTCTCAACCAATTTCGTTATTTGAAATAATACAAAATACAAATAAAAAAATGAATAAAGTCTAATAAAAAATATTAAAATAAAATTATAAATAAATAAATATTAAAATAAAAATGTTATAATGATGAAATCATATTTGAAGGAGTACTTAAGATTCTGCACAATTCCTTGGTTAAATATGATAAATGATAAAAACAATTGTGAGTGAGTGAGTGAGTGAATGAAAGAATGATGAAAGTAAAAAGAAATGTTAAAGTAAAATAAATAAATATAATAAAATAAAGTAAATAAATATTATAATGGAAAAACAAGAACAAATATATAGTATTCTGCACAATTTCTAGGTTAAATGTAATAAAAACATTTAAGAATGAATAAATGAAAGAATGGATAAATTAATAAAGTAAAATATGAAAATAAAATTATATTATAATTAAAAAATGTTATTTGAAGAATGAATATTAAGTATTATGCACAATTTCTAGGTCAAATGTAATAAAAGCATTTTTTAAAAACTGAATAAAAGAATGTAGAAAAAGTAAAAAATAAATGTAAGAATAAATAAATATTAAAATAAAATAATATTATAATGAAAAAACTATTTGAAGAATAAATATTAATGTATAAATAAAATAAAGAAATAATAAAATAAAGGGAAAAAACAAACAAATATAATGAAAGTAATATTTGAAGAAATAGAAGAATCTGCGCATTTCTGGGTCAAATGTCAAAAGCAAATTTTTGACACAGACCATGTTATAAAGAGTTCATGGGTCATACTTTGTACAGGAGGATGTTATTTAAATGATGTTATTTTATGTAAATGTGTCTTGTGTATATTTACATTTATATATATTTTAGTATTGTAATGTTTCAATCTCTTACAGACAGCGCTGCACTGGGCTGCGAAACACGGTAAAGAAGACATGACCACAATGTTGGCAGAAGCAGGGGCTGACATCAATACAAAAGTAGTACGCACTTCATAAATCAATTCATTTTTTGTCAAATCCATATATGCCTAAACTCAAATGCATTTACTAATCATATATTGGTGTCTCCTTTTCTCTCACAGCATGTAAGTACTCCTCACCTTATATTCACCCCATGCCTGGGTTAATGTTTCTCACGTGTGTGTCAAGCTGCCAGAAAGTGTCCGTTTTGAAATGTCCGCTTCTGACATAACTCCTGTGAAAGGGTATGTGGGTGCCCAGCTGTGCAAATGAAGCCAGGCACTGTTTGAGAATGTCTGTTCATAAATCAAACTCTGTCATGTTAACAGCTTCCCTTAAACAATGTCTTCATGTATTCCAACAGCAGGCTCAGAGCAAAGCAATTTGACTGAATTACCAGGCAATTATGATTCTGTCATTAGATTTTGCCGCTGTAACCTCAGTTAATTAGTGTCCCGTCTTTCTCTTCCCCTCTCCTCTTCTTTCTGTCACTCTCTGATTCTGTTGTGTTATGTTTTTATGATTGGGACATGGGCACTAGGGGGTGAGTGTCGAATTTTCCTTCACACAGTCCGTTTCTTTTCATTTGTGTTTAGTAGTGAGATTGATCACTAGAGATATTTAAAATAGCGAACCTTTTCTGTTTGGGTGAATCTCACAAATAACATTTTCACCCCAAAATCAAAAGAAAATAAATAAATTTAGCATATTTTAGCAGTGTTTATAATATTTAGCAGTGGTGAAATTTTATTTTATCTATTGTTAAATTATAGTTATAATCTAATTTTCAGTATTGTAGTGTGTGCATTACTTTTGCATTTATTTATTAATTTCATAAATTTTTCATTCCATATATATATATATATATATATACAGTGGGTAACTTAAATGATTTTAGCAAATGGCTGCAATATAACAAAGAGTGAAAAATTTAAGGGGGTCTGAATACTTTCCGTACCCACTGTATTTATGAAATTAATGTCATAGGGCAAAAAATCTAAAATATATTTTGAAATATGTAAAATATTTGTGAATGTAAAATATATTTTGTATTTAAATGAAATATTTAATTAATTATATTTAATTAAATAGTTTTGTTTAATTTAATGCAATATATTTATATATGTGTGTGTATATGTACATATTACGGAAATGACAATTGATAAATAGGTTTAATTGTCATGACAATAATGTCTAAAATATATGACATGACTAAAAACATGACTAAAAATCTCAAATATATTCATATCTGATATACATCATGACAAATTTTAATTTATGTAAAATATTTGTTAATGTAAAATATATTTTGCATTTAATTTAATTTAATACAGCATATGCATGTATTTATATATGCGTGTGTCGTGTGTGTATATGTATGTGTTACGGTAATGCTAATTATTAAATGGGCTTAATTGTCATGAAAATAATGTCACAGTGCAAAAAAATTTAAATATATTTTAACACATAACAATTTTTACTACATGTAAAATATTTGTAAATGTAAAATATATTATGTATTTAATTACATTAAATATATTTTGTTGAATTTAATTTAATAAAAAATATTATTTATAAATATTTTTTTATTTGATTCTTTTGATTATGTGATGAATTATAACCTGCTCTTGACACTTTTTGTGATATTCAGTATTTTATTCTCACAGGGATACACACCTTTACACATTGCAGCACTGCACGGGCATCGACATATATTTGACCTGCTGGTCAGGACATATGGTAAGCATTTATGCCATTATTATTTTATTATTTTATTTTATTTTATTATTTTATATTTTATTTTATTTATTTTATTATTTTATTTTATTGTAATTTAATTTAATTTTATTATTTAATTTAATTTTATTATTTTATTTTATTTTTTTATTTTATTTTATTTTATTTATTTTTTTTATTTTATTTTACATTTTATTTTATTATTTTAAAGTTGCTTAATTTAATATTGCTGAAATTTGAACATGTGCACAGGAGCAAAGGAGAATTTGCGGGACTACAGCGGCCACATAGCATATCATTACCTCAGTTTACGGGAGACAAGATTAGAAGACCATGAGCTATGTGAGTCAAACTTAATTCTTGTTTTTTTTTTTTTTTGGTGCATAAATGCAATGCAGCATGAGGGTGTTTAGTCCATTCAGACATGTGGCACATGTGGAAAGAGCAGCACTGAAGATGTTTTCCACATTAGCGCAAGCATGTGGTTTCTCTGAATCTACGGGGTGCCTCGTGGATCAATTCTGGACTTTGTGTCTTCACCTTATTTGTCCTTCCAGTGTGTTATTTCATGCACAGTGTGGTCTTCTTCTTAACACTGCTTTGATGTTTGTTCTCCAAGCTGAAGTCAGCGAGTGCCACAGTCTAACCCAGGCCGGCGAGCGCAGGAACAGGAAGATCACCTCATTATTTCACTCTATGAAGAAGTGGGGTGCAGCAGAGGAGCTAGCGCCCGTGCCGGAGGAGAGGACTGTTGCTCATCAGCTAATGCTGCCTGCGTTTAGACCCAGAAAGTTCTCACGGTAGACTGCGTGAAGTCCAAACATCCTCAGTATCGCTTTAGTGCCACGTGAATAGTTTACAGATGAAAACGCACTTTGCTGCTTTTTTCGAACAAATAGTATGATTTAGTTGTATTCACATTTAAGTAGCTTTTTAGCTTAATAATTAGCATTTGTGGTGTTATGCCACAGCAGTGTGTGATATTCGGTAAGTGTGATGTCTTATTTTCTCTGCTAAAGGTTTACAATTTTCATTAAGCAATGAAAAGGTACATTTTAAAATACCTGTACATCATATGATCCCAAGGTTTTACAAGAACTCCGTTTCACTAAATATGTCAATGCTAAAGTTCTATCTTGAATAGAGACCAACTTCAGCTTTAATTTGCCTTATCTTCACCTTACATAACTTAAAAGTCAGAACCACTGTTTATGGCTCTGTGAGAATGTTTTTCATCCTTAAAGACAACAAAATAAAAAATACCATATTTATTAGTTTTATAATATTTTATATACCCTTATTTTATAATATACTCATTCATACATATATATATATATATATATGTATATACTGTCCACACACACATATATGTAACTATATATAGTATGTTATATATAATTTTGTATATGTAATATATTAAATATAAAAATATTGAACTTTTTGCGAAGATAGATATACAGATAACATATAAATATAATATAAAAAAATAAATGTATTATAAACATTTTTTTTCAGCGTACATTATTCTTAAGCAAAAAATAAATGAGCAAACAAACAAATAAATAATGTATTTATAATGTTCCACCGAAATGCAATGACATTCTCTGCCCCTGAAATAACTTTCCTTTTATGATGACATAACAAAGGCTCTGTGGACCGGAAAATATCATTTCAGCCAACAATACCAAGAATTTTATGATAAAATTCCTATGAAAAAATCAGTCCTATTCTGCATTATTTCAGTTTGAAAAATTCAAATATAATTTCATGGAATTTAAATGCAAATGAGCAAACAAACAAATAAATAATGTATTTATAATGTTCTACCGAAATGCAATGACATTCTCTGCCCCTGAAATAACTTTCCTTTTATGATGACATAACAAAGGCTCTGTGGACCGGAAAATATAATTTCAGCCAACAATACCAAGAATTTTATGATAAAATTCCTATGAAAAAAACAGTCCTATTCTGCATTATTTCAGTTTGAAAAATTCTAATATAATTTCATGGAATTTAAATGCTTTGCAAAAGCCTTTTCGTTTATTCTTTTCTGCCATTAATGTCTTTGTATGGTTTTAGCTCATTTTTATTATAAAATAAATGTCTTTTGCATTCCAAAGGATGATGTCGAGTAAATCTTCTAGTCAGTGCCTTATACTGGAAGTCTGAGGGTCTTTCCTGTTACCTGAGTGTTTATTTCATAATGTAATGTATGTTCCCTTCTATAAAAAGAAAAATAAACTGTACTGTGTAATGTGTGCTTTTTTCTGTTCATTATTGTCTGTTTTTTCCTCTAATTGTTAAGATAATTTTTTTGTCATAAAGTGTTGCGCTCCAATCCTCCCACCTTTCCTCCGGGCCCTTGCGCTAATCTTTCATCACTCTTCTGGATCACCCTAACAAGATTACACCCTATCAGATCTTCCACCTCAGTCACTGTCCCCTGGCTCGCACCTTCCCAGCGAAGCTCCTCGGTTCTTTTCTCCTCTCCTTCTTTGATGCCCATCAGTCGCTCGTCTTTGAGCTCCCCAGATGGAGCAAATATGGGCCCTAGCGGCCCTCCGTAAAGTCCTGAGCCCTTAATTCCAGCTTAGTTGCAAAAGGCCAGCGCTTGCTTTTGGGTTTTGGGTGTCACAGGGGAAGACAGACAAGTGGTTTTGTGCCTCATTTCTGAAGGGCATGGCGGTGTTTGAAGGATAAGAGGGCCTTGCTGTAATAGATACTTATCTGACTGCCCCGCAGTCCTCAAACACGCTGCTCCTCTGAAGAGATTAGAACCCAGGGAGGGCACATTAGCTCTAATCCCATGCTTTGAGGGCTCTGCCCCACCCCACGCCCCACTTATTCTTGCCCCTTCTGTTGCAGGGGGATACCTTGTATCTGGCCCATGTGTAAGGGGAGCCTGTGGCTACACAGGAGGGGGGTTGGAGGGTGTGTGCGTGTCTGCGTTTGTGGGGGGGAGGCCACTGAAAAGCACGGAGAGGCCTCTACTGCTGTGTAACTGATTCCCGGCTCTCTGAAGAGATTAGGCACTACATTGTTGGTTTGGTTGCTCATTTCCATCTGAGGGCCGCTCCCCCTGCGGTTACGGGCCGCCATTGTGCCTGGGAGGGGGAACTGAAACCAGCGGCTCAAGGCCTCCAGCTTCCTTGTAGTCTTTGTTTTACAAATGACCCAAAATGTAGATGTCATGTCACAGATGCCTTACAATCACACCAGGTATTGATTGTAAGGGGGAAACAGCCGCATGAGGAGTGCCTTTGTTAAGCGCTTCATGCGAGTCTGACTTGTGTGCCTTAAAGTTTCCTCCCGTTTCTGATCACAAATTATCAATAATGTCTGTCTGTCTGTCTTATCTGTCTGTCTGTCTGTCTGTCTAATGCATATCTATCTATCTGTCTGTCTGTAATACATATCTATCTATCTGTCTGTCCGTCTAATGCATATCTATCTATGTCTGTCTGTCTGTGTCTAATGCATATCTATCTGTCTGTCTCTGTCTGTATAATGCATATCTATCTATCTGTCTGTCTGTCTAATGCACATCTATCTATCTATCTAATGCATATATATCTATCTGTGTTGCATTTTTATCTATCTCACATTTCTGTCTATCACATTTCTGTCTGTCGGTCGCATTTCTATCTGTCTGTTGCATTTCTCACAAATTATCAATAATGTCTGTCTGTCTGTCTATCTGTCTGTCTGTCTGTCTGTCTAATGCATATCTATCTATCTGTCTGTCTGTCTAATGCACATCTATCTATCTATCTAATGCATATATATCTATCTGTGTTGCATTTTTATCTATCTCACATTTCTGTCTATCACATTTCTATCTTGTCTCTGTGTCGCATTTCTATCTGTCTGTTGCATTTCTATCTGTCGCATTTCTATCTGTCGGTGTCGCATTTCTATCTTGTCTCTGTGTCGCATTTCTATCTGTCTGTCTGTTGCATTTCTATCTGTCGCATTTCTATCTTGTCTGTGTCGCATTTCTATCTGTCTGTCTGTCGCATTTCTATCTTGTCTGTCTGTGTCGCATTTCTATCTGTCTGTCTGTCTGTCGCATTTCTATCTGTCTTTCTTTAGAACTGAGGTGTTCTCTCCTTGCGCTCTTGTTCTCTACGTTTTTTTTTTTTTGCAGCATCCCAGTCTTTCATTCAAGCAGCAGAACACGTAGTAGGAATCTGGATGCCATATGGACGCACTGCACTGTATTCTCAACCATACATAAGGATGATCATGTGGATGGGCCCCAATCTACAGCACAAACTCCAACCACCATGCCGCCTGTCACAGGCTAACGAACACCACCTGTCACTCACCCCATGCGGGGGCTGTCAATCAAATCACACCCCGAAAGAGAAAGAGGAGTGGGCGGGACCGGTCTAGACCCCTAACAAAGGCATCCTCCCATTGGTGAGTACTTGCAATGTCACTTCTCTGTAAAGAAGAGTGATAGAGTAGGGATGATAACACAAATGACAAAAGATAGATGGATAGTGGAGGGGGTGGTTGATAGAGGGGAGGTGGGAAAGACTGATAACATTCACGTTCAGCTAACTTCCCTCAGTTTGGGCCTGTGGACTTGGCATAGCTCATTAGCTCTCAAAATGAGGGTTTTGAACACTAAAAACAACAGCATTGTTTTAGGCCAACACTTTTATGAAGTCACGCCATTTAAAATTAAACCTGTCTTGTAATAAAATGGCCCATATAAAAATACAATTCTTTTTAAAAGGTGATTTTGAAAGAATTAAGAGCGATTTAGACCATAAATGGATGTTTATATTCATTTCTCTACGCTGTAAAACAAACATACTGTCAACCTAAATATGTGTTTGTAGTGTTAAAGGGATAGTTCACCCAAAAATGAAAATTTGATGTTTACTCTCATATATTTTGTTACATTGCCATGCATTATATGACTGATAGACTGCAACGGCTGGAGTTAAAAATCATCAAATGTGTTCTACTCAAGAAACAAAGTCACCTACATCTTGGATGCCCTGGGGGTAAGCAGATAAACATCACATTTTCATTTTTGGGTGAACTATCCCTTTAACATTCAAATTACTCATAAGCTTGTTTTATTCAAGTCAATATTAGAATGTCTGTTATAACACAATCAACACCAATGAAAGTCTTTTTTAAAGATCAGATTAGGTGGGGAAAATACCCTCAAAATAGCAGATTGATTGAATGATTTTTATTTAATCATTTATGTATTTATTTATTTTCCTGACTAAATTTCTCTATATTATGCTAGTTTAGTCAAAAAAAAAAAAAAAAATATTTGATTTGACACTAACAAATTTGATACACAATGTTTAATTCTATTTTACCAGGTCAGATTTTTAAGCATGTATCTCTTCTCACCTCAAAACGGCTTAAAAAGGAACTACTTCCAGAAAGAAAAACTAACATGTAGAATGTGTGAAACACACTCTGTGGATTCCCTTCATGCTTTTGTTAACAGATCTTATTGACACCTGACTATTGGCCATTCTAATGACAAGTTCAGGCCTTTTGTCTGCTCAGTGGTATGTGATGAGTGCTAAATGAAGTCACACCTCTGCCCATTGTCATTATCAACTCATTAGGACACACATACTGCGCTCAATGGATGATCCTCCCGTTTGCAAAGAATTCCATTTGGGTAAAATGCAGATAGTTTAATTTTCAGAGTTGGAGTACCTAGACAGACCAGTCTTGTTTTGTCTTGACATGTTTAACATTTATATTTCATCACCAGTAGAAACTATGATTTATTTTTATGGTTTATTAATTCAAGCTTGGAGAAGTTGATTAATTACAGATTTCTTCTTTTACAGTACATAGAAAAGGTATGCAGTATAACAATAGAGCAAAAAAATATATTCTGTCTAAATATCTATGAAATAAAATGATATATTTACCATTTACCATATATAGATGTGATTATTTTACTTTTTATTTACCATGTATTTGTATGGTTATCTTATTTAATTTTGTGCATATACACTTATTATTTATTTTTTTATAATTAGTTTTATTTATTTACGAGTATATAGAGTTTTCCATGCATGTGTATGGTTATATTTTATTTAGTTATTTATTTTTTATTTGATCTGCTATTTTTAGGTTATGTCTTAAAGCCAAATTTATTTATTTATTTATTTGTGAGCTTTTTATTTACCATATATTTGTATTTTTAACAGCCATTTTTGAGTATATCATACTAAAAACCAAGTTTTGTGCTTATTTATTTCTGAGTTTGTTTTTTTATTTACCATGCATTTGCATGGTTGCTTTATTTATTTATTTATTTTTATTTAAGCCACTTTACAGTAGACTATATCTTATAGTAAAACCAAGTTTTGTGCATATTTTTATTCATATTTTTATATTTGTGGTGCATTTCTATGTTTCTATTTAAATTTCTGTTTTGTATCTATTTCTGACTGATCCTGCAGTTGTTGATTTGTATTGATTAATGTGGTTGATCTGTTTGGTTAAACCACAACACAAACCATTAGGATTTTGACACGAGTAGTTCCAGTAGAGTGAAACCAAATTGAAATCAGCTCTCAGGAGAAATCTCCACTCATGCAGATCTGGATTTCTTTGCTTTCTCTATGGTGAAGGAGTGGAAAAGCTCATCTCTTATCTGAAGTATATGTCAGTCTACTATCTCATGCTGTTCTCCTCTCGGCAAATGACTGACATCCCGTGAGCAAACAGTCTTAACTGGACCTGTCAGAACATGAGTACACCTGTATTGTGTGCGAGAAGAGAGGAAAGAGAGGAGAAAGCCGAGTGTGTGAGGAACACAATAATCACAGCCCTGAGCTGCTTATCTTCAGAGATGCAGCATAAGCTTTGCTCTTTGCTCTCCATTTTGACCATTGTGCAAGCTGAGTAAATTTGCTCTTGGCCCGAGGGGATCTGAACCCCACCCTGCTTCCAAACTTATCTGTCCGTCTGTCAGCCCTTCAAATGTCTCACACCTTCACAACCTCACCATACAAAATCTTAATAAACATTTCCAAATAAACCTTTGGAAGAGATCAAGGTAACACTTCTTTTCATCAGATACCCTACTGAAATAATGCATGAAATGCCACTAAACTTAATTCTGAGACTCTATCAGAGTTTTAGGAAACAATGCATGCCAGCATTGTTTACTAGATAACAGATTAAACAGCCAGTTTCAACAAAAAACTTGTATTTCCAATGTCAGAGAGCCTGAACCCCCTGCTGTCGGGTTGTTTGCTGTGCTTTTCTTTCCAGGGCATTGGTATGTATGTTTAGGAATTCTAATCTTATCTGAGTATCCCTCTACATTACCATCTGTTATGCTGCAATCACCATATACATTAGTCGACACCTGTTTCGCTTAAACCTATTTAATTACGCCAATTGTACTGGGTTGTTGTGGGCAAAAACTAAGTCATCCCCGTTTAAAAGAGGTTTTGATGTTCGGTCACAATAAAACCAAATAATTCATAGTCCAGGGTCGTTTGGAACCGAAAGAAAAAAATCATTTGCAACCGTGCGGAAATGATTTACATAAATGAAATTAGAAAAATCATTTTGATTTCAGACTAGTTAATTTGATTAAAAAAAAAAAAATCGGCGACTAAAATATATGTAAAATGACATTTTAATACTAATTTTTAAAATGTAAATAAGAAAATTTATAATAAAATAATTTATTGTTTGACTTTAAGAAATTAAGATCTTTGAAAATTTCATATAGCCTATTTATCCTACACTCTAAAAAATGCTGGGTTGTTTTAACCCAACTTTGGGTCAAATATGGACTAACCCAACTGTTGGGTTAAATTTTTCAATTACATTTTTAACCCAAAAGTTGGTTTAGTCCATATTTGACCCAAAGTTGGGTTAAAACAACCCAGCATTTTTTAGAGTGTATAAATCAAAACAGACGGGTTTTCTACAATAGGCTACATTTTTTTCATGGTTTTAATAATTATTCTATATGAGAGTATTTCAGCTCGATGTACAATCAAACACCAATTCCATTTAGGAGCATCTCCAAAAAAAATGCGAATTTCAAATGGAGCCCTGCTTTTTTCCACTCTTCAGTACGGATAAGCGTGAGATAAGCATCATGCGTTTAAAGACTTTTAGAGGCCGTTAAAAGGAACAACCGAAATTCTCCTTTGAAGGGATTTAGCCCCAGTGCAAGCCTTTGGATCACAGCTGTCAATCAACCACTATGGCACCGCCCACTGGTGCGGCTCCGCCTATAAACAGCGCCCGTGAACTCGAGGGACTGTCATTCAAACACCAGAGCTCAGGGAGTAAGGATGCCTGCTTCACCAATGGGGTTTGGAAACTTCTTCATGGACAGAAACATCAACATGCCCGCTGGATATCAATTATTGGGCTGTCCGCCTGGAATGCAACAGCCACCGCCACATCTTATGGGAATGGCTGGGGTTCCCTTACCTTTCTCAGGAATACCGGGATACAGTTTTATCCCTTATCCTCATCCAGGACACATGGCACACATTGTAAGTATTCTGAAAGATTTTTATATTGCATAAATAAATTTGTAAGTCGCTTTGGATAAAAGCGTCTGCTAAATGACTAAATGTAAATAAACGTATTACATTTCAATGCAAATCCATCGTAAATAAAATGTTTAGATTTTACTTTGTACGTATTACAAGTGGTGTAATGAATATAGAAATAAAACATGACAGACTGAAAAAATATTATTGTATTGCAACATGCATATTGTTCATTTTCTAAAACCGACTCTCTTTGCTTACTTTCAGAGCAATTCCTATGACCTCAAGGCTGCATCTCCGTATCACCAAGCTCTCCTCGGACGTGGGGGACCCTATTACACTCCATATCGTCCCATGCCAGCTGATGACCCGAGTAGGGTCACCAAAGTGGCCACCAGGGAGAGCACCAGCGCTTTGAAGGCCTGGCTCAGCGAGCACCTGAAAAACCCATATCCCACTAAAGGCGAGAAGATCATGCTCGCCATTGTCACCAAGATGAGCCTCACGCAGGTGTCGACCTGGTTCGCCAACGCCCGGCGCCGCCTGAAGAAGGAGAACCGGGTCAGCTGGGCCTCCAGAGGAAAATCCGACGAGGAGGATGAGGAAGAGGAGGGTGAGAGCGAAGAGGAGGGATCTTTGAGGAAAGGCACGGAGGATGAAGACGAAATCGATCCTCAAACAGTTGATGAGGAGGAGGAGGAGGAGGAGGAGGATGTCGCGGGGTCAAAGTCGGTTGAGGACCGTTTAGCGGAAGGACTTGATCAGCAAAAGGAAAGTGACAAGTCTGACACGTCCTGTGAGACCAAAACAGAGGTGTGTAAACAAAACGTCGAAGTCCAGAAACCTAAAATCTGGTCTCTCGCGGAAACCGCGACTTCAGATATCGTCAAGAAACCCAGCGATCTGAAACATCTCCACAGTCCAGAGTTTGGAAAGTGGTGGGCTGGATGGCCTTCAAGGGACTCCTACTCTCCTGTAAACCTCTCCACACACGACCTTCTCAAACAGAGTCAATGAAACCGTTCATTCAAGACACTATGAATTTTGCACTTTGAAAACCATTGGTAACGTTTTGTTGTGGAAGTTTGCATACAAGATTTAATCCAATGCCTGGTTTAAAAACCAAAGGATTGTGTAAATATTGTACAGTTATTTTGTTTAAATTATAAATGCATTTACCTGCTGACTTATTTTTGCTAAAATAAAACGTTGAAAAATGTCAACATTTTGGTCATTGAGGTAAGTCCGTTGAAATAATTTAAAAAGAGTTGCATTGGTTTGCATTTAGTTTTAGTTGGAGTACTTCCGATATCCAGTAGTTTCGTAAAGTCCTAAAGACCCATTAATTAAAGAAATAAGTCACGAAACCTTCCCATTTCAGAGAATTTAACTCGCGTAAGTGTTAATAGCCGCAATGAGAACATTTTAAAATAGGCAAAACGGCAACGTAATTAAAAGGACCATTGTTTAACAAACAGGAACCTTATTAAATTTAATAATCTAAATAAAAAAATAATAAGAAGAGCCTAATGCTTTTTACACAAGCAAAGCATCAACATGATGGAAACTGTATAGGCCTACTGGCTTAATCCATGATCACACTCTCAAAGGTGATGATACACGGGGAAACTTTTTGAGCAATGTTGCCATAAACGGGCACCCAGTCCCAGACAGGGTCCACGACCGATCTAAAGTGTCCAGATAGACATTTGTTGCCCATTCTCAATGGGAAAATGCCCAAGCAACATCGCTCGGCAACATTGCTCAAAAGGTTGCCCCGTGTATCATCACCTTAAAACCTTTTAAAGTACGTGTTCACAATAGAACTTTATATATGATAATTGACGTCATTCAAGAAGAGTTCTCAGATTTTGGAGGCAGATCAAGACGCGTTCAAAGCGTTTCACTTCAAGGCTATAGATTTAGGCTTCATGTTATCAGTGAGGACACTACTATTAAGGGATTTGCATATCTGCCTCTGATCTGTTAAAACAATTCAGAGCAGCGCGGGTTAAGGACATGAATTGTTCCGTCTTAAAGGGTGATAATTAAGATTATTCTGTTTAGTCACGACTTGACAGACGAAAAGTGCCAGAGGCATCTACCTTTACCCTCATTTAGTGCTTAAATGTAGGTGCTATGGGATCAAACATGAACAAAGTGATTTGTGACAAAATAAATGGTATACTGACACAAAAAGTCAAGTGCAAAAAGTTAAAACTGAAAGTAAAGCCAACTTGAAGTACAATGATTTGATTTTATTAAAATAACATTATAATACAGTATAGAATAAAAAACTTGAGCAAAACAATAAAAAGTCCAAATGGTTAAATAAATAAATAAATAAATAGGCTATAATAAATAAAGAAAAGTCGAAAGGTAGTAGTAGTAATAATAATAATAATAATAATAATAAAATGAACGAAGATGGTACTCACAATTAAATATAAAATAAAAATACTTGAGCAAAAAATAAAAATAAAAAAGTCCAAAATAATATAAATAAATAAATTTAGCAATTTATTATAACACAACCAACTTGCAATTAAAATCCCATAGCACCTACATTTAAGCACTTACTTGCAATTAAAATATCCTGTGCATATTTCACCAGCCATATAACTTTTAACTGCTACTGATGGAATGGCGTCAGAAAAAAAAATTAAATGTCAAATAAACTGCTCCATCAAAAATCTTGCATCCTTTGGTTTCCTTTATAACTCTCTCTGACACAAACACACCAATGGGATTAGGCCTTGGGACAATATTCTGTTTTTGTGGACTCCCCTCTGCAGAGAGAATGATAAAAGGAAAACTCTTCCTTGCCAATCACTATGGCCTCCATGTAAATTCAAAGGCCTGTGGCCTGTTAATCCAAGGATAATGAGAAAACCCCTGGGTACAAAAAAAGGAGCACCTCCCACCCCCCCCCATATTCACATATTCACAGCTAACACACACTGGGCACAACAATCTCCTACATGCCCCCCTTTCAGTGGCCCAAATGATGTGTAATCCCAGCCTAAACATGACAGGCAAAAGGCTGTGATATTGAGATAAGGATTGAGGCTTGAACAATGGCGTGAGATACAATGCCTAAATCGGCCATCAATGGGCTTCCCGATCCGAGCATATGGTCATATGCTTTGGATACTATGGCCTAATTTATAGTTCAACAAGCTACTTTTGGATTTGTTTGTTTTGATGTATACAAAAATATGAGCTTTAGCAGTCAAAAATCTACACATCACTACAACAAAACTTCTTCTAAAAATTGAAGGGAGTTGGTTGAAGAAAAATCATGTTGTGATTTTAATGTGAGGCAAAAGTGGGATTGAATGTTGAACTGTTTTATGCCAAAATTCCTCTAATATGGAAATGGCAACCTCTTGTGGACAGTCAGAGTATCCCACAATGCATGAGCGATTCATCAAGTTTTTCTGTGGACATTTCACACCTCATAAGTAGCAAATGAATATCTTACAGTGACCCACGGGCAATTATTCATGGAGAATCAAGAATGATTTAATATGTACAGAGAATCACAAATTATTTCATAATACAATACAACATTCACAATAAAAGCAACAAAAATGGTATTGTACAAAGGAAATTTTTACATAAGATACAAAGCAACAGAGATTTCACAACATTTAACAGTTTAAATGTCTAAGATCAAGATCACAGAGACAAAACATTAGAAACATATTATACATGATTTTGTGAACATCATAATTAATCTCACACTTCTGCACCACATTATTTTCAATCCCAACTGACACTTTTATGTTCTAAGAACATTCTATAAATGTTCAAAACTTCCATTTTTAAGTTATACAAGCATTTAGGAACACACTAGCTGAATAACCTTCAACGTGTGCAATCCTAAATATAAAGTACCAAGCATTGGGATACATGTGTGTTTTGTGCAGTCGTTCTGCATCACATTGGTGTTATTGCGAGTCTTTTTCTCATCAAACTACAGCTGAAGTGGGGAAAATCTCCTTAGGAGCTTTGAAGTGTTTCACTTCTTTTCTTCCTTGCTCTTCTATCAACCTGGTCTCATAAAAATATGTACCTCTGGGTACGTTTCGGCGCAGTTTCAAAGAGAAATGTCCACTGAGTGGCGCTAAAGCACGGGTTCAATAAGTGAACACTGGCACGTTTTTATTACGTTGATATAGGTACGTATTGCTGTTTTTATTACGTTGCTTCAGGTACGTATTGCGGCGGTTCAGAATTCAAACATCCGGGGACTGTCGCTAAAACTTAAAGGTCCCCTGAAATGCTTAGAAACACGCAGCGTTACT